GTGGCACATAAAGGGTGCAGAAAGGCCGCATCTAAACAATACTTCCAAAAAACAATTCTTCATGGTATAGTTAATCAAGTGACATGGCACAAAATTCATAAAAACAACTGAAATAACTAAATAACTAAATATGAATGGAAATTATGGGAGAAAAAATTGATAATAGCATGTGGCAGTGTTGTAGGTCTCGAGACCGTCTTAAAACCTTTTTTTGCGGTCTCGGTCTCCCCTTTCAAAGTCTCGGTCTTTGGAGGGCCGGTCTCGGTCTTGCAAGTGCCAGTCTCGGTCTTGGATGCCGTAGTCTCGGGTCTCTCCCTCGAGACCAGTCAAGACCATAACAAAATGCGCATCTAGCTACCACGCATGCACGTGATTGCAAAAGGCAAAATTACCTCTGCTCGAGTCAAATCTTCAACCACTGATATAAATACAACACAGTAATGTTCAGATTTTTTGCAATTAACAATGAAATCGAGGCTGGAATGAAGACTAGTCAATGCAGCAAGATGCAACCTTGTCCAAAGTTGTTACTTTATTTCCAATCCAGAGTAGCCATGCAGCTTGACACCATGGAGATAAAGTTGTGAGTAGCGGAATTCGCACACTAGACTGGTGCCCTACGTAGTTTCCTGCTGAACATAGGGCTGGGACGGGAACCAGTCTGTGTGTGTGCGCACGCTATGAATTGTGTACACCAGTGAAAGTGCTTTCAAGACACAAGATTTGTTTTTCAGTATTTTGCTTACAAAAAAAGTCTAAGGATGTTTGTTTCAATGTTTACATCATATCATTTGGGACACTCGGGTTGAAAATGACCAGACCAGGGTAAAAGTAGAGCAGTATCACTGATAAAAGAACTGAGACATTCTTTAACAAATATTTGACCTGTGTGTGTGTGTGTTTAAGCTAAAGTTTTCATTATATTTCTTTTGTACTTAATTGTACTGCCATATGTTTGTCCCTATTTACTTTTTGGTAAAAACTAAACATTGGTTTATGGCTGGTCTCGGATGTCGTGGTCTCGCTCTTGACCTGCAAAAGTCTCGGTCTCAAAGTCCTGGTCTTGGTCTTGAAGGAGTAGGTCTCGGTCTTGGTCTCGTATGCCTTGGTCTCAGTCTCAGACATCAAGGTCTCGGATACAACATTGGCATGTGGATATTTTTTTTTTTACGTAAGACCACTTGAGAAAGAATGTCCCCTTTTGAGGAGACAATCTCTCTTTCAGGGGAGTCGTTTTATGCCCAAGGGACTTCTGCGAATCCTGTGACAGTCCCTGAGTTGTGATGTGCACCTCTACTGCTTTGGGGTCACTGGAAAGCTTGTTTCAAGACCTTTCCAACCGTATACAATGCAGTGGCATTTAACAACTTTGAACTTTTTTTGGGCCACATACCTAGTAGGCCTACTTGTACCGAATATAGGTCACTTCGGCACCTTGCAAACTCGGCACCTACCAACTGGGCACCTAGCCAACATGGCACCTAAATTTTGCCTCCAGTCTGCATTTTTCAACTCGGCGCCTGACCAACTAGGCACCGGCTCTTGCAACCAATTGGTCCTAATTCCGTACATGTGCTTGGTAAATGTAATATACGTAATGCTTATTGTTTGGGATTTCGGTAACTCAATTACTACAAGAAAACCGACAAAGAAATTCACAAAGAAACAAGAGTTTTGCATGCAGAAGGGAAGATTGAAGGAAAAACATAGTTGAAATGAAAGTCCAATCTTAATTTAACCCCTTCACGCCAGGGCGCGGGTAGAGCCGCCGTAAAAATTGAGATCCTCAGCCCGCTTTTCAGCTATTATTCTCGACCCACGCTCGAGCGAATACGATGAAAGAAGGCAGAACCTGGCTCTTGTATATATAGTAACTGGCCTTTGTGCGTAGCCCAGAAATGAAAGGACCAAATTTGCATCATAATCACCAGCTTGACAATAGTCCTCACTTTGAAAAGAGGCAGCTGGGATGTGGAAGCGTGAGTAGAGCCACATGCCACCGAGCAATCAGCCTTTAATTGTGTAATTCAAAGCGTGAAGAGCACGCAGGGCCACAAACCAAGAATTTGCAGTTTGGCAGGTGGCCTTCGTGGCCAAGCGAGGCTGGAATTCTTGGAGTCAGCTTTTGGGAAGAAATTCCCAGCATGAAGGGGTTAAAAAAAAGAAAGAAAAATAACCCTTGCCTTATCCTGGCCATTCCGTGAAAACTCATGATCGAAGTTGCCCCCGCATCCCCGGCCCCCAAACGCGACCCACAAGCCAAGCAACTACTAAGCTCCGACAAAGTTTTCCTAGTTCCAGATCATTTCATCCAGTTCCGGATCGGGTCAAAAACTTCACTCATGAAAAATTCTCACGCGAGAAAATCATGTTTGTTTCAGCCAAAACCACCCAAACAAGCAGATTTTGCAATGAAGCATTATTTTCTGATTTACAGAAATTCAGTTAGCGTAACAAATTTGTAAAGTTTCCATATGTCCAAATTTTTAAAAGAGAACTTGCGTAAAATGATTAGATCGAAGCACGCGCACGTGCTCACAACCACCCAAACAGCTTTGACAGCACCAAAAGCACCATCACCGGGCAAAATTCATGCGCACTAAATACTGTGGTAGCGCATATATTTGGTGCCAGGGTGTGTAGTCTACACACGCAATCCTGGCCAGAACTACATGCAAAAAGAAAATGTACATTTAGTCCTTGGCAAATTTCGAAATAATGGAGACCCTCAAATCGGTTTGATTCAATGGTCATTTGATTCAAGAATCTTGGTGGCTGAAGAGTATGAGGTGCCGAGTTGACAAGGTGCAGAGTTGGCTTTTGCACAGGTGTCGAGGTGGTGGGTGCTGAGTTGGCAAGGTACCAAGTGACCAATTACCCTTGTATTAGAACTTGTAGGTTATACATGTAGGCCTATCATGCCTACAGAACTCTTTCCAACTAGCTCTACTGAGTGGAGCGTCAGTAGGCCCTATTCCTCTTTTTCGAATTTTGGACTGGATCGGTCATACCCTACTAACGCTCCACGACATAACATGTAGGCCTAGGCCTACGTAGTAAAGTGGCAACGGTTCTCAAAAATTACAAAGACTCACCAAAAAATACCTTTATCACCAACTTCTGGCTTTCTTAAATTCCAAAGCTTTTGGGCATGTTGGAGCTTTAGTGATATTTTCGACTTCAAAATCTGTCAAAATCCGACTGTTTTCGGTATTTTTTTCAATAAATACTGGGGCCAGAATGAGGTTAGTATTTACAAATAACCTGCACGAGCTGTGCACATCCACCTCTGCAACACCAGAACACGGTGCGGTCCGCGTTGCTCGATCGTACTCATACACACGGTCATTACAGTCGCTACGGTAGGATGGGCCGACAAATTCACGATAGAACAACCACAAATCATTCTCTATTTACAAAATCAAGAACGATAATATAATACTCACAGTCTTCGGAGTCGTCTTCAAAGTTCTGTGATAAATAACTGAGGTCTGTAAACCAAAAGAGAAAAGGGTAAATAAGACAAAATGACTTGTATTTCAGCGGAAGAGATTTTACACAATTTACTGTCACTCACCCGCCATGTTGAAATGCTACACGAGGCAAATTTTACGACAGTTGATTGGTCGGTTTCGACGAGGTAGATATAAGATGACGGCGTGTACGATGTCTCAAAACGCATTCAATTTATAAGAAAGGGTGCTTTACATTTTGTTGAAATGTTAAAAACGGAAATTGCATTTGACTTTTTAATAGATATCTCATGTTTTAAACGAGAATAAAATAATCATATTGCGTTTCTAAAATAGACGCATATACTGTTCATCTCGAACAACCCCTGTAAATAATGGTCCCTTCTTGTTCTACAGGAAGTGAACTTCAAACTGGGTCGCATTCATTTTGTAGAATAAATGCGGCCCAGTTTGAAGATCTGATCGTGTGAACATGGAGGTAATCCCTAATGGGTAACACGTGAACTTTTAAATGGATGTCAAAAAGCTTTGTAATAAATATATGAGAAACCATGTGGTAACTAGTAGTGTAGATAATTCTGCCCAGTACTAAAAGAATGGACGGTGGTTGGCGTCGTTGATGTCGTTTTTGTTTGCTTTTGTTTTATGGTCAATATTTTCGGGGTTTGATATGGATCGTGTGCATTCCATCTTGACTACACCCTCCTGAGTTGATTACCCCATCTATGATTAATCAATGGATCTTCAAACTTCAAAGGGTAGACTCCCCCCCCCCAGGTCTAATCAGCTTTGAAATGCAGTACATTAAATTTGCACCAGAGTCAAGACTGTGCTTATTGCCGACCACGGATAAGTCGGTAAACTTAAAGAGTTCATGCTAGCTTTACTGCCTGGTTTGAAATAATTAACGTTTCGGCATGCTCTCAGTTGTGTGCATATATTTCATGATGAAGTTTTATAAAGAGATTAATCTGAAAGCAGTGGTTTTATCATTTAAATATTTTATTTTTTACAAATTTGGCTGTTTTAGTAGTTGCTTTATAACCTGCATTTTCAAAGCGGCTGTTCTGATTAAGAAAAAAAACCTTAAATGACGTCAAGACCCCTATGACTATGTCATTCCTTCATGCCCCAAAACAGCTCCCGCTTCACACTCCAATGTCAAAGGAAGATGTTTAGCAATTTGGTTTAAGCCATCCTCAACATTTTCTCTGAGTGATATTTCACAGTGCACGTTTTTTGTGCGATGATTTACGAGTACATGTTTAAGCTTTTATCATCTGAAGACCAATTGTTTAAAAAATCGGGCAGGCATGCACCATTCTTGCAAAAACACGGCCATTGTTCCAAGAAACGTCAGCCAAACTTTAATGTTGACTTTTCCAATTTCCATGCTTGATGGATGCAACTGCCAATATTCTCCCCCTCGGCTGTGGTAAAGAGTCTGAGAAAGCCCAGCTGTGCTAGGGTTAAAAGAGAAATGCTGCAGTTGCATTTTAAAAGCTTTTTGTATGGTTTTGTCACCAGATAATTCCAACAATGTCAGTGAAGTCTTACGGAGTTGCTCTCGGGTGGTGTGCAGCAGCGTTCCTCGTCAGGTTCATCCTGGCCGCCTACGGGGAGTGGCAGGACAGGACCATGCTTGTCAAGTACACCGATGTGGACTATCATGTCTTCACCGATGCGGCTAGATATGTGTCGCAGGTGGGCAGGGGATGTGAGTGGGGGTGTGACGTCTTGACTGTGTCCACGGCCTACTTTGGGCATTATTGCCTGTCTCAGCACAGTTGGGTGTGCCATGCTATAGTTATCCCGCGAAATCTTACAAGAAAGGTGTCATGAAATGAAATTGTAGCGTTGTTATTTCATGCATTCCTGCATCACTTGTGTTCAACTTTTCTGCCCTCCTGGAGTGCATATCATGGTCGATCTTATGCCTTATGATCTTATCCTCCGTTCTAGTTCAACATTGCTGCTCAGTACACCTGTCACTCGCACTAAGACTTCTGGATATCGTTCATTCAAGTATGCATCACCATCGCTGTGGAACTCTCTCCCACACCATATCAGAACTGTCAAAAATGAAAACGAATTTAAGTCACTACTTAAAACTCACCTGTTTCGTTAATTGCTTTATTTCATAATATTACTGTGAAGCGCATCGAGATGTTCTATGTGATGCGCTATATAAGAAATGTGTTATTATTATTATGCCAAACCTCAGATTTAACTTTCCTTTCCTCTCGTAAAGTGGTTGACTAGTGGTTGCACAATCAACAGATTTTGTAGGCTCACATGATCAACCAGACAGCACCAATCATACCATCGGATGAAGAATTGTTTCGAAATTAATCGTAAGGTGGCTTGATATCTGATAAGATCCGTGTGCAGACCATGTCATTTTTTTTCCTGTTTTTTCAGGGCGCATCACCGTATCAAAGAGCGACCTACAGATATACCCCTCTTCTAGCATGGGCGCTCATCCCCAACATCCATCTCTCTCCACTCTTTGGTAAGATCGTCTTCATCTTTTGTGACGTTCTCACTGGTACCCTAATCCTGCGGATACTGCAACTCGGCGGCTGTCCTGAGCGGGTGGCCGTCAAGAGCGCCCTCTTGTGGTGGTTGAACCCCTTGCCCGCGACCGTCTCTAGTCGGGGGAATGCGGAATCCGTCATGTCGGTGTTGGTGCTATCCACGCTTTACACCCTGATGAAGCACCACACACGGACGGCTGCGTTGCTCTACGCCATGTCCGTCCACGTCAAAATCTATCCAGTGACGTACTGTGTTCCTATATACTTTCTACTGGGCCGAGACTATCACAGAACATCTCCGGGAGGAATAACACATGGTTTCAAAGACGGATTTTCAAGGTGGATTGCTGAGCTGTTCTGGCCGAACAAGTCCCGGCTGGAGTTTGTCTTTGTCTCGGTAACTACATTTACCCTGCTAACCGGGCTGATGTATTATTGGTGAGTTCTGCATGCTGAAAATTGTACGGACAATTCCGGTTACCATAGTGACTGGTCATTTCCACAGGCGCCTGTGAAGTGGCCAAAAGCATAATTGTTGTACACAGCCACTGTTCCTGGACATTTGCTCTGTACATAACCCAACACTGCTTTCTACTATCCGGTTCATTCAGTGTGATGTCATTTCAGTTTAAAGAGGCCCATTTCACATAGGGTGGCTCAAGTGTTCATTCAATGAGAGCTCGTAATCAACGATTCCTGCAATGTGTTTGATGAAGTCAAGAACTGGATTACAGGGGGCCATCAGGATTGGCGCATTCAATCTTGCCTTAATGTTCTGTAACATCTTCCAGCTCAGAGGACTGCGAAACATCGTATAGCTGTATGACAAACTCGAGACAATGTTTGCAAATGCACCTGACAAAAATGACCACTCCAGTTTGAGATCGTAGAAACATGAGTTGACTGTTAGAATTTGTGCAAAAATGCAACCAAGCAGATAACCGTTACAGAGAGGAACTCACTACTCAGCCAATTGGAGACTTAGCAGGTTCGCCATATGGCAGATATTTAGTAACTGTAACTATGATCTTGACCAATTTGATGAGAAAAGAAATTGTATTTGGTGCTGCATAAAACGGAAGTGGCCAAAACAGAGCGCACTGAGCTAAAAACATGGGCTGTTATTGTCAACGTTTGCAGATGGAACCGGGTTAGCAAGACTAGTCTGAGGGCTCCAAAAGGCAGTGTCCACTACTGACCTGTTTTGGTTCAGCTGAACTTGTTCTTGATAAGAAAATGTGACCCGTCACGACAAAATGAGAGTAAAGTTGCATCCTGCTCTTTGCTATTTTGAGGGTTCAAAGTCATATTGAAATGGAGGTCAATTTGGGGGTTTGTAATATTTGGAAAGAGTAACCCATCTACTTAATTCCAAGTATTTCGCAGAATCATGTATTTAGAAATGTCATTTTCTCGGCAATTTTCACAATGGCATTATTCGTGCCTGATCTGAAATGTTGAAACAATGTCAGGAACAAAGATGCAAAACTGCCAGAATAATGTCCCATTGTCACCTGATACTCTCACCCAAAGTGTTCCATGTACATACCATTGGAAAGCTTTCTCTCTGTTGAATTCAAAAATATAAGTTCATGAGCATTACTCCAGTAAGCTTAGATGCATGTGTTAGATCACACATCGTTTGTGATAGCATGTTGCACCTGTCCTTTGCGTAGTGTTAACGAGGTTAATAGTAATTGACATTTATAAATCGCCCAATCCATCAGGCTGCTCCCAGGCGCTGTACATCAAAATATAGGTAAATAAATATAACCTACATGTACCATAATCAAAATCAATACTAAGAAACTAGAAATGCTTGTTTAAAAAGGTGTGTCTTCAGCACAGTCTTAAAACTCTCAACATTCCTAGATTCTCTAAGATGAACTTCAAGCTGGTTCCAGAGACGGGGACCAGCCACAGAAAACATCCTCGGTTAGATTCTCGTATGGTGAGCCCCACTGTAAAAAGACTCTACATCATTAAGGGATAAACCCCATGTTTCCATACTTAATTAATTACTCCAAACTTGTTTGTTTTTGCCCAATAGCTATGGAGATGATTTCCTAGAAGAGACATACTTTTACCATGTTACTCGCCGTGACGTCCGGCATAACTTCTCCCCGTATTTCTACATGCTGTACTTGACAAGTGAGTCCCCGCTGTCCTTCGCTGTCGGTCTCCTTGCTTTCTTACCACAGGTCATGCTCCTCATCGCCCTGTCCATCCGCTACTACAAGGACATTGCGTTCTGCTGTTTTGCACAGACCTTCGTTTTTGTGGCTTTCAACAAAGTGTGCACATCTCAGGTGAGTTACTTCTGTGTGAATGTCTGTGACCACCTCTGTGGTGCGATAAAGCATGACTGTTCTGCTAATAGAGCCGCTGTTTGACGGAAAGCGTCAAACGCAAGTAGGTAAACACCACGTTTCTAAGCAACATTTGCTTACGGAAATGGTCAACAGACTCAATGGAACAGCTAGACTCAGCCCTGCTGAAACACAGTATTATCTCGGTGCGGGGATATGCTTTCATGCCCACTAAAAAGTAACAGCCCTAACCTAAAAGTTGCAGCTCCAACAACTTCTCTGACGAGTCAGTTTGTTTATCTCAAAAAGACAACGTCATTCGAGAACAAACACCTGACATCCTGCCAGGTTGACCACGTTTACTTCATGGGAGTTGGTGTGCGGCCGCACCGATTAAGCCCACATTGTGCATGCATATTGATGCCCTCAAATACGACGCACTATTCACAGGAAAGAGCATTCAAACTTCCATGACAGAACTTCCTTGAAATAACAACCATTGGGATAACGAAGGCAGTTTCTTGGGGAGTTGTGCCAGAGTCAGTTTGCCCACTTGTAGCTTATTCGCCAACCTCGTGTTGTGTAAAATTCACAAAGTGATCCATGGTACGCTACGTTTCATACTTTAGGGGAAATGCCGACAGCCAACGTATGTCGTTTTTTTTCCTAATTTTGGATTCATTTGCCGACTGTAGCTCAATTTACCAACTGGAATTAATGATTTAGAACATTTCTTTTTCTAACTTGCTGATAAAAATTTTAGGGTTGCACCGGAAATTTAAGGTCGGTTGGGAAACCGGAAGCACAAGTTTTTTTTGGGGGGGGGCGCTAACCCAAAGGGTAAAAAGAAAGCTTGTTGTTGTCTACATGGTGGCACTCAAAAATGTCACTTTTCTCCTTGGGAAATGGCAGGACTCATTCCCCCTTATTGTAGGAGTTCAGCACTTTATCTACCCCACCCATTATTCGTACTACACTTTCTGTATTGGACCCTGGACTGAAACTACATGTATCTCCTCCCCCTCCCTTTACATCTGTAGTGCTGTTATTTCTGCATAGCGCCCTCTGTTGAACCAATAGGGTGTCAAAGCAAAAGTACCGTGCATGTACAACTTAAATAGCGCCCTCAGTAGTTCTGAATTTTTTTTAACAAATTAAACTTACCTGTCCCTGTAAGTAGCTTGCTCTTGAACTTCTTTTCACAGCCAAGTTTGTAAATTAAAACTTTGAAAACAGGCATTCCCACTGTACTTTGAACTTAAATTACGTATGGTGATAAGATAGTCATTTCTTGGGTGGTCTTTTCCTGCCCCTTTTCAGTACTTCTTGTGGTATCTTTGCCTCTTTCCTCTTGTCATCCCAACGCTGAGGATGAAGCTGTCGGAAGCTCTCTGCCTCACAGTGCTCTGGTTTCTTGGACAGGTAACTTTTTTTTTTTTTTTGACCAGTTCTAAGAACAGATTCCACCCAGTTTGGCCAGGGCTATCAAAAAAACTGCTGTACCTCATCTGTAAAACTGAGTATTTCCACCACTAGAGGGCTCAGTTGTGAAAAGAGCCTGTCTGCCCCGAGCTGGGTCAAGAGAGGGCGCAATTTTCCTAGGAACGAAGGCTCCTGTTGTGGGAACTGCACTTTGCTGGTTCACAAATTCACACTGAAATACAAAATAAGCACTCCCTACTAACATGGCTCTTCTCAACCGACAAGGGGGTGTTTTTGCTCAAGGCAGAGAGGTGCAATTCCATTGGCCATATTCAGGTTGACATCTGGTCCCCTACGTCTGTTTACACCAACACCAATAATTTTCGACACGAGCCAAGTTGTCAAGACTGTAGCCCCTCCCTCCTTCCACATTGTGGTAGAATTCATCCATTACTAAATTCATTCTTTTTCCCACTATTTGAAAGGCCCTGTGGCTGTATTTGGCCTACCACCTGGAGTTTGAAGGCAAGGACACCTTTCTGGCGGTGTGGCTGGCCGGCCTCGTTTTCTTTGCCGTGAATATCACAATCCTGGTCAGAATGATAACGACCTACGAGGAACATCAGACTTTTGTGGGCGGCAAGTTGGCTCTGATGGCCAGAAGGTGACAGAAGAGCAGCCACAGAAATTCTGTTTGGACAGCGACTTTTAATCTCAATTACTGAACATTTCAGATGTCCTCTTTAGATGAAATCAGGACCAAAAGGGAATTTTCAGAATTCGGGTTTCAATCAAAGAGACAGTCAACCACCACCACCATCGAACAGCTTTTATACTTTCATGAGCTACCTGGTCAATAGTGTATATTTCCTCCCATGTATTGTACAATGTTCCTGACTATATTTTGCTGCGTTTGTTTTTCTCCTTTGTTTACCCTACATGTCTTCTTCTCGATTGTACTAATTTTAACTGTTGACGGTTGTTACCGGTTATATTGTATTTGTAACAAATCTTTTACGTGTAAATATTCTAATTTCTTGTAACTTATTGTATTTTGTTCATTTCAATGGAATGAAATAAAGTTTCCATTTGAAAAGTCAAAAAAGTCGAACAGCTTTTATACGAGACAACTCAACAAAAAACATGAAGACGTAAGCAACATGTGTCTTAGTTATGGATTAGATACATTGAATTTATTCCAGATTTGCATCTTGATATTAACACAGAATAATAATACCTTTGACTCAGCCCTGAAGCAGACATGCAAGAACAAAATGGAGTGATCAGAAGTACATCTGAATTGAATCCATGCCAGTGTATTCACGTTGGGTTGGGAGTTCAGTTACATTTTGTTGGAGTGCAGACAGTACACTGAATGTTTTCCTCTGCGCTGCCAAATCGAGACAAGCGACCGGTAACAAAAAAGCCACAGCCTGTCAGGCTTGAATTAAGGCCACTCTCGGTTCCTGAAGTGGAGTCAATGAGCCTGAATGTGGAATCTTGGTATACAACACCACTGGCTGCAGTGGGTTTCAGTTAGGAGGAATCAGCTGATCAGGGGACAAATTGAGCGTGGTACTGCCCACTTTGAGAAGAGTTGCAGCGACAAGGTGTTTCTGGCAATCTCTTACCTTTCTTAGGAGCAGTTTCGCTCGGTCTCGATGGTTTGAACGATATTTTGATACTTCTCACGGACATAATACAAAAATGAAGTTGCAAGGTGAAGTTCACAGTGAAGACAACATGGATTTTCTTTCCCTCATACCACCCACGGCAGCTATTGTTTACATCCTGTGACACACCACAAATTAGTTTTCAACAAAATGACCATTACAATGTGATAAATTTCTACAAGAAAAATTTTTTAAAATTTCAGCCTGAGTAACTGTACACTATTAACACGTTAATGACTATAATTACACCTGTCATTGTACTGTTCAGGTTGAAATGAGTTTTGGATACTGTAGTAAATGTGTACAAAACATTAAATCTTGTACCTTACCAAGGTTTAAGATAAAAAAATAAGCTAGTGCTAAAACAAGACAAAAATATAAATGGTTTCTAGTTGTCTGATTTCTTTAAACCCCCAAAATAACACAAAATACCTTTACTGTGAATGTGTATAAGGTAATAATAAATACAACACAATAAAAGTGAAATACTTTTAAGCTGGAAAAACTAAACAGAGGAAATATATCAATGAAGACAAATACTTGTCAAGGGTTCATTTATGACACTCTGTTTCCATCCCGTAAGAAACAAGTTTCCTGGATCATTTTGCGAATACACCTACTCTTGAATAAACTCCCTCAAAACATGTCTGCGCATACTTTCCCCTGTGCCTAGAATGAGCCGATTGGGGTCTAAGCACGTACTGAAGAGGGCGCTACAGAATGATCCGATAAAATGCCGTTACCACGGTGGCACCACACTCGCACCTTCTTCAGCTTGACACGTGTATGCATTTGGCAAATCGTGACACCATATTGGTCGCGGCGGCACATGCCACGTGCTTACAACACACCCGTCAGCAATTAGCCATCGTAGTAAAGGCTTCCAATTCTGGTCCTATGATGCAAGATATGGGGCGGAGAGAACCCCCCCGCCTTTGTGTCTGTCATTGTTCGATCGGAATCTCAGGAATTCTTTACAGACTTCTGGGGGGATGTGTTAGGTAACAATAGTCTTGAGTGAGTATTGGGATTGGACATGGGGGGACCCATCGGCCCCGTATCATGCACGGTATTATTCTGGTTGTCAAAGTACACTACATGTATAAAGTGACTGAAAAGAATTTTCAAAGCCAAGCAAACCTGAACATGGCATTTCTTTTTGTTATTTTTTGAAAAACAGGTTACCAGCCCAAGTGTCATGCAGTCTGAATTTCTGTTGGCTGGTTCCCTGCTAAGCAGTACATGTACTTTAGAAAATTGGGTCTAGGAGTGAATAACGCAGGTATTTCACTGGTCAACACTGCTCTGTTAGTTTGTTTACAAGTAGGAATAAAGGCATACCAGGGAGACTGAGGTTCTGTCTGAATGCTGGTTTTTCATTCCATCACATTCTAAGCTCCGGAAGCATGAACTTCGGATGAGGTTCTTTTTGTCACATGATGCGCTTTCCCGTGATGACAATCACTGCTTCCATCACGTGCCCTAATGTTCAGAGTTTTCTCAGTTAAGTAATCATGCAAATGGCCTTCAGACACCATCGATTTTTTCTCCATTCCACTGAATTCTACTGCTCCAGATGTCCTGGACATTTCCTTCTTTATTCCTTGCCCAATTCTAGGAATGCCATAAGATTTCCCAGGCATTGTTTTCAAGGCCTTTGAACTGCTTATCCAGCAACGCTCGGTGTTTAACAAAACATCTCCAGAACATTTCTGTTCTTCCATGACGTAACCAAGTTTTTCCATGGGAACCCTTAAATAATGTTTAAGTATAAAAACATTCTCCACTGTCTATTAACACAAAGAATGTAACGAAAGTACTTATCATACCTCAATAAAACCACAAAAGGAAATGTTGCAATGTCTGCCGAAGACCTGGAAGAAATAAATACTACTAGAGTCCACTTACCATGCTCAGACACTCCGTAGATAACAAAATTTGAACAGAAATCAAATATTACTAAAAAAATTCTTTGTACGAAACACTCAAAGAAAAGTTCTCAAAATGAACAACCAGATCAAATAGACGAATCAAAACCTGTTCCCAATACTACACAACTGGAGAAATACTTGGTGTTGGGAATATAAAGAAAAGTCACGTCCACCAACCGACCTGCACCCATATTTGTTTCACTTGGTGATCATGGGTACTTTCCAAAGTCACTCTACCTAGATTGGAGCAATGATGTCTTTGAGAGAAAAGCCTTGTCAACAATATGCCTCAAGCTTTGGATCCAAAGACACGGACAACCGATTCAGAGCGAACCATTCGGCATTTGTCATGTGACCATCGCTTCAAAAGACTGTCACATCTGAAAAGTTGCACTGGGGATAAAAAAGCGTCAAGTATGACTTGCAATCTGTAACCACAGTAAACAGATAAATATACAAATTCTGTGGTTAAAGTTTACCATTTTAACTTGCCATTTACAAAATCGACAGTACACGTAATCCGTTCTGGTGTTTTCCAGTTGGGGATTGTAGTGTAATATATTAAGTATACGATTAAAATATTACTGTTTAATAACATTAAATGCAGAAAAGAGGTAAAAGTATACACGTATATTACAAAGGACATGAGCTTGTCTTCACTTTAGACTTAAAAATAGCAAACCCTGCTTTTTTCGTGCTTTTAGGAAAAGCACCTTGTTTAAAGATCTATACAATACTTAATTACAGCCCCATCCAGATGGTGCAGACGCGAGTGTGACATTGGACGTTCATGTTTCTAGATGGAAAGCTTGGTATCCACAACTTAGCAAGTCACCTTGATGTACAATCTTGCAAACAAGATTGGTCCGAGATTCTTTCTTTTAAAGTTTCAGTTCAAGACGGTTATGGAAACTATGCATTTTCAACCCCAGTTGGCTCCACTGAGAAACCAACGGACCAATCCAAAGTGCCAAATTTGGCACAACTTGAAGAGCTCCAGAGATACTTTTATGCAATTCAATGTGGTGGCTTCTCCACACTGAAGTAGAACTTGACAGCCGCAAAGAAGACTGCCATCCTTCTTTTGATCAGCTTTTCCAACATTTTTTACACCCTCCAGATTTTTTTCTCTGATGTGAGCTCCCAGCAGTAGAGTCGGCACCATGTGGTTGGGGCTGCCACGACTAGTCATTTGTGGTAGTGGTGATAGTGGTGGTGATGGTGATGTTCGTGGTGATGGTGATGCTCATGGTGCTGCGACACCGGAACGTAGACCACTCCCTCCATGCCGTTGGCTATCTCGTGCTGCATGTACGTGAAAGGCTGGAGGACGGGCTTCAGCAGCTTCTTGTGGGAACGACGCCGCGCGGGCACCTTGGGGCTGGTCAGGGCCGGGGTCTGGTCCCTGGGGGCCACGGGCGAATGCAGCTGGGTAGGGCACAGGTTGGCCGGTGGCAGGGGTGGGGCAAAGGGGCCCAGCCCAGCCAGTGGGGAAGACTCGGCGGCGGTGAATGTGGGTAGCTTCATGGGGGCTTGGGAGGCCATGTCGCCCACCGCTGGCGGGGGGGACATGGGTTGGAAACCTTCCAGCTTGGCCCGCGACGCCTCCAGCAGCATCATGTGGTAGTCCTTGTGGTACCGCTGCCGCAGCCCACATTTAAGTTTGTGCTCCTCCGTGCTCAGCACGCCCTCCTGTATCGGGGGCTTGGCATCCAGGTCGTAGGAGCGCGAGCGCCGGTGGCCCCCTTTACCCCCTTTGGAGGAATGTCTGTGCCCCCTTCGCAGCCTCTCGGCCGAGGTGTGCCGGGTTCTGTGGGGGAGGGGAAGCTGTTGCTGTGCCAGGTATTCCACCTCTTTCTCCTGAGCCAGAATGATGGTTTCCTCCTCCTGCCGACTGCCGTTGTTCTCAATTCCAGCCAGCTCTTCGTAGTAGTTCCTCCGCTCTCTGTTCTCCAGCTCTCTAACCGGAGATGAGGAGCTACTGATAGGATGCAGTCTCTGTCTGACCTCCTCGCCTCCTCCATGACCAAAGGCACTTTGGTGTCTCCTGAAAAGTCAAAAATTCAAAGTACAAATCTAATTACCATAATGTGAGAAGACACTGAAATGCCCGTTACTTAAAAAATACTCAAATTCATGACTTTGCCTGATGACTCAGTGTTACTGATTAAGTCATGCACTGTTAGTTTCAGGACATGAGGTATCAAACCAACTTGTTTTTCCACTGGCATGGACCACTAATCTTGTTTTCCCTCCTAAATTTCTATGTCATGAATTTTAATGCGATTCCCCATAATTGAGACAATGGACCTTTTTTTCTGTATTAGATATCACTTTTATTTAAAACACATTTTCAGTCAACTTCAGACCACGGGACCCTGACTTCAGTATGTGATCTACACCAGGCTACAGCAGCACAACAGTGAGGCTCCACACTGGCCTTTTCAACTTGGATAATCCTTTGTGTTGTGGAAGTCTGTTATTGGTCAGCAAGTACAGTTTCCAGGTTTTTTTAACAGGAGTGCGGCACAAAAATTTGTAGGAAATAATGTCCAAGGGATTTTCTGAACAGTCATTTCAGATTTTCAAAGAATCTCCTGAGGAGATTCTGAATTCCAACAACTTCGATGATCCAGATACCAGAAAGGGTGTGAAAATCCCGTGGATGGCTTTGGAATGTCCAACAAGCACAGCATGTTGAGTTCCTTCCACAGCCACCTGCCCTAGAGATACAGACAGATGTTGGAAAAGTACAGTGGCGACTGCAATTCACATCTCTGAGAAAAAGTGCAATGCTTCACCAAAACAGGAGAGGAGGATGCGTGGCAATCCCTTAATGTGTGAATCTCCTCACAGCCAGCTGAAACCCCCCCCCACCTCCACAATCAGAGTCCCACTGACTCAGGGGGGGCTAACCTCAGCACCTCTGGTGTAAGGCAGTAGTATTGAAGGTGTGCGGTTTGCCAGAACATTCAATCAACACAGATGACGCCACACAGGGACAAAATCTTGTTTACTGTACATCATGTCAAACAATTCCAATTCAGTGAGACTGGACTGTATCTCACTGCTCCCGATTTCTTTTCTTGCTTTCCTTCAAGTAGAGAATGGTGCAATATCTCGGTGTAAATTGTGATGTGGTTGTGCTTACACATTCGTGCTTTAAACTTTCGAATTTGAAGTATATGGATGAGAAACAGAAATACTCTTTCAAGTGGCGCTGTCCCGCCAGCAGGGAAACCGTTACTGAAGTTCACAGAGTCAACAGTGGACGTGGACTTAGCACCTTAACACCAGGCGAGTCCTTGCGCTAAGCCACCTGCCCGCTGGGTGGACTGAACTATGGCCCCTGGGGGTCGACAAAGAGTGCATTCAACTGTGGAGGTGACACAGGTTTAGCACTCCCTGCATGGATGTGATCCATTCTCTCTCTTTCTGGTTTTGATGAAAACTCCATTAACCAAGTCTGACCCACATCTTCATAGCAGCAGGATGTGTATGTACATAAAATTACATAGAAATAATGACTGTACATCCCCATGGGGAATGGGTGATTCTATAAATTAGGGGTCCAACTTGGGGACATTGTGGTGTCCTGTTACACGTGAAGCCAGTCAACTTTTCTTCATGTCAAATTGTAACCACATTATCAAACATTGTGCAGATTGAACTGTACATTGTACAGGTTATAAACAATGTAATCCTGTTTGATCTACAGAATGTGAACAGTACTAATATTAGTTCCATCCAGAAAAGCTGAATGGTTTCACCCGTAACAGAACACCAAAATGTCCCCAAGTTGGACCTCTAATTTATATAATCACCCAAATACGTTAGTCGGGGGTAGACCCCATGCAAAAGCAAGACCACCATGGTGAAAATGTGCCATATCACCAAAAATAGAAGGCACCTCACTGGTATGTGCTGACTTCACTACTGATTTCCAACCCCTACCCCATCTGAANACACATACACATGTCAAGGTGATCCAACCCGTTTCACTCTTGCTATGGGGCAAACAATGCCTTCTTCAGAAATACACTTTAAGATAAGGTTCACTTGTCATCGCTGCTGGGCCAAAGCGCCCTCTTCTGTTCCTTCTACGAAAACTGAAATCCAACCCCAGACAGCATCCTGGACACAATGCAATGCCTTTGCCAACAGTGAGAAGCGCCAATTTCATTTCCACAATACGCATTTCACTTTGCCTGGACAGGATTCCCAATCTCCCAGTCCAACTCCGAGCAGTGAAGCCTGGTATCTGACTTGCCGTTGCACCTCTCTCCCCTACCAAAGTACCACAACCCCCTCCTCGTAGTAACAGCATTAGCAGTGGGGTGACGGCCAACGAGCACTGTACTTTTACAACAAAGGGCAAGTACCGCAGTTTAGTAAATGTGGACGACCCAACCTCGTCAAAACGAACTGAACCATTTTGAGTGCTGATTGGTCTCAACACCTCGGTTTGCCAGTCACAGAAAGCTCTCACGTTTTCATTTCATGGTATGTACTACTTTTTTCAATGCTTTATGCAGCGTGCCCTTGGAACCCTCTGTAATTGATGAAAGAGTGCTTCATAAATTCTCCTTGTAAATTTGATAATAACCTAAAATGTACAATTTATGATCAATAAATCTGTGAATGTTTTATTGGGAAATGCAATAACGCCAATGGGGCCAAGCACTTGGAAACAACAGTCATTAACATTTAACACTACCAGATGTGGGCATGCATTTTTCTTGACACACAAACAGGGCCACCGACTTTACACAGAAAGACACGGACACACGAGACAAGGGATATGCATTTGGGCCACCTGATACACCACATTTACAGTAGATCACCAGATCCATCCAAACGGCTAGCTCGCCACATGTTCGCCGGGGTGAAAGGTTTACAGCAGGATCATGGGCATTGCCAGGATTTATTGGGGGGGGGAAGTAAACCAACCACTTTTGCCTGGAAAGGAAATTTCGGAGGGGGGGGTAAAGGATTCATCAGATAAAAACTAATTAACAACAATTGGAAAGGATCAATTAACAAAATTTCCAACAAAATGTTGATTTTTAGTACCTTTCTCTCAGTTCTTTCACCTTCCCCCCCCCCAATTTCTTTCTCTTTTACTTGCCACATTTTTCCGGGAGGGGGGAGCCCCCTTGCCTAACCCTAATACCGCCCATGAGCAGCATTTTACAGCACCCGCTATAAACAGATGGAACATGTCATGGGATGGGCAGGTCCACAGTTTATGAAACTGGTTTCAAAATGCCTGCAAGACATGTGCCAAAACGCTTGGCAAGTATTAAAAGTGATATGGCATGAGAAGAAGAAACCTTGGGCCTTCCAAGGGTCACGGTGTGTCCTGTTTCACATGGACCAGAAAATATGTAAGATCATCTGCAAGTCGTGGATTCGACTGGTTAACAACAAATGCAGGCAAGAAGAAACAGGAGAGCAAGAAAAGTAACAGTTTTTGCAGATGGCTCATCGTTGAGAGACCGACTTAGGCAGATCCACCCACTTGAGTGGCGTCCTTTGAGAAAGCCGCCTGACAGACGAGTGTGACGAACTCCCTAACACCTCACAGGGTGGAAGAGTCAAACATTCACGTTTAAAATGGCTCACGCTGCTCCACGCCTGAATTGCGTTCAAATATTCATTCATGTTCCCTGGGTGTTCAACATGATGGGGCTTTCCGCCGGGGTGTCAACACATGTTTTTCCCCTCTTAAATAATGAACGCGGTGCGCCGCCTTCCCCAGACACCAGCTCTATTATGGATGCTTCAGCATGGTTCAGAATATCTCACACTGGATGCACTGCTGCGCATTCACTACTTACAATTTAGCCTGAACTTTTTTTTCTCTATGGTGGACCTGTGAGGAAAGTTTTCAACAAAGCCACTCTGCATTTCTGGAGTAAGCAATTCTTTTCAAATTGCTTTTGAGATATTTTGCCTTGCCAAATTTTGAACGTCTGGCTGTTTGGCTAACGGCAGCGTCAGAAGGAAAAACGCAATGCTCTTGAGGAGTTTTTACCCCTGCATCTTCTAATATTCTCAGGCTTCCATTGCTTTGTGACAACCAAGTGTTGTTCTCTTTGTAATTTCTTTGTAACTGGGACACCAAGTTTCATTGGAAATTCAGCTCTGCAAAACTAGATGTAATCATGACATGATAGGCTGGGTTTTTTTTTTACCTTAGCTTGTACTGCCTCTTAGTACATGTATTTGGACTGCGGTCATCAACTCGGTGGTAATCTGCCTGGCTAGCCGACATCGTCCTCCTCTGGTGTCTGTGCGCTCGCATGCCATTCTCTCTCCTCACCGGCTGCTGTTGCTGGTATCCAGTGGGCAACGTTAACCGGTCTGCGTCGGGTAGAGGTTTCCCGGGCCCCGTCCCATCGTGGCAGGCCGTGGGTGCAGCCTCCCGCGCCATGTTCTCTTTGTTTTCGGCGCCGGCGCCGAAGGGTTTGGGGTCGCCCGAGTCTTCTGAGCCGACAGAGAGACGGACACGAAGCTTCTTGCTCCCGCTGGCCGGCAAGGTGATGGTGGAGGCCAGGGCTTCAGAGATGGTCTTGAGGAGACTGGACAAGTCCTGGCAGGAAAAATGTTAACAATCAAGGTTGTTATCAGTAGGTAAACATCCACTTGACCATCAGTGCTGCATTGCCAGTTCCCAAAACGACTCCACAGTTGTGTGACCATTCAAGCTACATGTACGTGTGCAACATCGCACATACTTGTTCCATACACACACACTTGGGTGTTCCAACAGGTGTGTGACTACACACCTGTTGAAAGACAGTTATAACGGGGGGCAAGATCTTTATGGGGACATGCGAAAGTCCTCACAATTCCTAGCAAGAGAAATTGTCCTCTTTAGTGTTGCCTCTTGGGGTACATGTACACGCATGCACAGGGTTGCGTTTGGCCCCCTCAGGGTGCCACACCTAGGTAAAGAATGGGAAAGATTTTTGGAATCATGCCCCTCCCATAAAAGGTCAGAAAGTTTAGATTAGTTTAGATTTGCATGAACACATAGCATCTATTTCATGAGTTTCTAATTTAAACGAAGAGTGTGCCTTCCGAACATGTATCCTCCACACCAAGGAGTGTCCTACTATACACAATGTGCCGGTACCAGTGCTCAAATGAGAGCCAATTTCTAACTCCCTTTTCATTAAACTTCATTTACTTTGAATAAGCCATTTGGGAGTTAAATTTGAATAAAATCTGGTACACTGAGTTATCTGTTTGCACATAAACAGAGCGTTTTGAATTCCCCAGACTAAAGGTACTGTTGCTATACCCTGTGATTCGAGGCAAGCTTTTGCATAGCGACCACCATCTCTGAAATGGACTGGTTCCTTTGTGCCCTTCTTATCCACTGAGAACAGTGTATTGTAACCAAGCACAAGCTTGCCCCGAATCATGAGGTATAGCAACAGTGGTTTTAGTAAGGAGAATTCAAGTTGTTATGTTCATGTGAATTTTAAAGAACTCGGTGTACCAGATTTTGGTCAAAGTTAACTCGCAAAAGACTTATTTTCAAACTGAACTGTACCACCGTTTTGGTTTCTTCTAATCACAGAGAGTTAACTGTCTTCCAGATTACTTTTCATTCCTATTCACTTCTGCAAAGGGTGTGTAAGTAAAATCTTTCAAAAGATTTGTGAAAAAAAAAAAATGGTTCCACTCTTCTGCAGACCCTTCTTACCTCTCGGGTCACCCTGCGATGGCCGTCAAAGTCGTACAAGGTGAAGGCCCACTCTTGTTGGTCGGACTCCCCGTCCAAAGAAACATCGCAATCGACAGCCTGAAAGGATGGAAGATCAAAGGTTGACATCTTCGCAGCGGCAAACATCAGTTCATGGGCAAAATGTTACCACCCAAAACTTCCCGAGCAGTGGTTTACGACGAACTTGTCAGAAGATTTAAAACTGTGACTTCTTCCCCTTCTGTACACCTCTCAGCCCGCAAATTTTATTTGGCTACTACTTTTTTTGCACGTTATAGGTTTCCTATTTTCATTAATCAAAATCCATTTTGTGCAAATTCAGGCTTCCTTTCAGAATGCATAAAAGAATGGGCCAAATATTCTGTCCACCAAAAATCTCCATTCTCAAGCAGAAAATGGGGGATGAACTTAGAAGAGAAAGGTAGCATTGGATACACGATTTGCAAACACACTCGGGAGATAATGAACCGTTGCTACTGTTGATAAAGCCTTGCTTTGAATATTCGGGCACAAAAATGCTGTTGTATGATTCAACATGCCTGTAATTGGAAAAGGAATGATTACTCGATTCTCTAGTATTCTGATGGCTTTGGACCACTCAGCTAAGACACATTTACTTTACATGACATTTTGAAGCACCACTTGTTTACGACACAGTGGTGAATTCCCTACGCATCATATGAGATACCTGGGGAGTTACCCTTGATGATAAAAACAAGTTTTAACATGACCGCTGACTTAATGTCAAATGTTGGGTTGATTGTGTAACTTACGATGCAGAATGTGCCCCACAAGTTGGGTCATTAATAGAGTGATTGCAGCTTTTTTTTTTATGCCAGATCTTGCCCTCTGTGACTTTCACTTTGCTGATGCAACAAATTCCAGGCCTGGCAAACTCATTTATACATTTTAAGCTGCGTCGGGCCACTGGCCTGCAGCAAAGCATTTCACTGAAGAATATTTGTGGGTAGGCTATGATAGGAGAAACACCAAACCTTTGGGTAAACTGTGTTTGCAACAGGACTTGTGTCCTAATCCACACAAACGTGACAAACCTTTGCATTGAACAACTTGATGAACAATGGACGCATTGTATAAATCCCCTCTTCAAATTATTTGCACAATACGGTACATGATTACTTTTTTTACATCGTACATACACATTTAAGCTGTCCCTGGGGAAATATGAACAAATTAGGAGTTTCTAAGGTGCCCGTGACTTGGCACAGTCTATGAATTTAAAATGAGGCATCTGGGAAGAAAAACAAAAGAAAAGAAGCAAGAATGTTGAGCACTTAAGAAAAATTCACGTACGTACCCCCACTGTTGCCTTGCCGCTGTTTGAGGACATCGTTGGGGAAAGTGGTGGTTTCTCCTCATCAAAGCCGTCGCCCTTCTCCACGGCCACAACCTTCACACTGCACGCCGAGCCTGTGACCTCCGGCGGCAAGGCAACTGGAGAATCAATTAAAAGGAGAGGTGAGCGTCGCGAGGAGAACAGGAAGGGATGACAAAACAAAATGCAACACTGAGGCAAGGGACAAGAATCCACCAGCTGATGAGCAGGCAGCCGAAGAGATAGCTCAGGGGGACAATCAATTTGGGCAGGAAAGGGAAAGGTCTGTTACCAACGCCCCCAGAGTGACTGATGTGGGAGGGAAAACGTGGCCCGAGTATGTGAAAATCAATGACCGGCTACAAAATGCGACACCAGCTGTTGGACCTTCCACAGGCGCAAACAAACTTCCACCCCGAAAAGATTGCATTTCGACTCAGCACTTCAAGAGTTTAAAAAAAAAAAAAACGATGGAAAAGTCAGTAGTCTTACTTCTTCTTTGGAGTTTGCCCTCTACCCGACAATCAACAGATTAGTTACTTATTCATATACATATAAAAACAAGTCTGAATGGTCCAATTTAAACTTTTGTGCTGGAAATGTGGTTATTTATTTGTAACAACAAAACACATTAACTTTTGCCCACAACCAAATCCAAAAAATCCCTGAGGGAGCTGTACAATGCACTGGCAGATTGTATCCCAGGCGACTAACACAAAGAAGTAGTTGTACACCCCTGCCACAGACCCAGGTGTATGGGTGTTATGGACATAAGGGTACATGTACATGTACATCCCTTAAATTGGAAAGTGCTACTGGTAGATCACTGGTGGCTCCCTTTGCCCCAAGGTGCAACCCTAATCACTCTTACAGGTCCATCTGTGGTTTGTGTAACCCTGTGTCATGGACGCAAGATGCAATGATATCACAACATGTGTAGGGCATTGCTTTCTCAGAGCCAGTTGAAGGAATGTACTGCCAGGTCTTAATCATGTCTTAACCCCTTGAACAGTTGTGAATATTCCAATTTCAATCTGGTTTCCTGCACAGTGGAAGATTTTTGAGAGGAGACTTTGGGAAGGTCCTACAGGTAGCTAATATGCCACAGCCCGTCAGGGTCAACTAACTGCATCAGGATGTCTAACTCTGGAAGTTACAGCCCAGAATTTACCAACTTTGGAACTGTGCCATCGACCACCTGAATCGTCTAGGGAGTATTCCCCCTAAAAAACCTTCAGCATTTATATTTCCAAATGTAAACTTGAAAAATGAAACAAGTCCCTCAAGGAGGTGAAAAGCACTTAACTAATTTGCAAAGGGTTTCCTAAAGGTTGGAAATGGCCTTCTGCAACAAAGCAACAAGTGTTTGGCGCAATGTGATGTCGGCAGGCTTCAAAAGGAGAATGCAACAAGGTGTTGAGGGGGGGACAGAAAGCTAAGGCTGAATTGTAACAGACACCCTTACCTTCAAAGTGGCAATTATCTTTGGCAAATCCTACAGGGACATGAGATGTATTACACTGGCACAGGTGGGGATCATCTGACGTGGGCTGCAGGAGACAATAGAGAGGAAAGGCAGGGAGTAAGACTGGTTTATAGGGTGAGGAGTCAACGGTTAGAATATGGTTGTCAAGAACAAACAAAATAAACAAAGTAGGCAGAGATTAGTCAAGAGAAAAGTCAACATTTTAAAGGAATGGCTGTATCCAAAATTCAAAGTGCATTTTTTTGTCGCAATTAAATACAACATCTTCATTGGTATTTTGAGCACAAGAACTTTTAAAAATAACACAAAAGGTATTGAACACTGTACATACTAGGTTTTCTTTTAATCCTAACTCCCCAGAGTGATTTACTAGGAACCATACCCATTCACACAAATTCCAACCCCATATGGTAAACTGTGCACAAAAACTGTTGGACTCTGTTTATTTTGGGTATGCCTGAACCCATGTTTAAGCACAAGCAGTTTAGGGGTACAGTACCCAGTGCCACAAATTCACACACTTTATTTGTGTTCAATTCTGTGTGGTTAGGGAAGGTTAGGGTTAATAGGGGAAAGAAATTCACGTCAACTAAATGTATGTAGAAAAAAAAGCAAATTAGAGTTTGTGCTTCATTAAGAAAAAGGGATCTGTGCATATGGTAAAGCATGTACCATACATGTACATACATGTAGGTGCACTTCTCACGCTCAGTTTGTAGAACACCTGTCCAGTCTTAAACAAGATAAACAAGCACATAGGTACAAATACATGGAGCTTGGTGGTGGTCATTGCCCTCATGGGTAAGGGAAAGGTATTACAAAACCAGAAGGTGCAGACTTCTTGGGTAAACTATTCACAGAATTTTACAAAATGCTGGCATGTGACAGTAAACACAAATAAATAACAAAACAAACCAAAAACCTCAAATTTTTTATTCTCGTGGGTGGTGGCCTGCCTCCCACAAATTCAAAGCCGGTCCCCCCCCCAAACATAAAAGATGTACCAGTACTAGAGTACCAAATAACCAAAAAGGGGGTCAGTGACCACATAAAACCTGTAGGAAAAAAAAGTCACATTTATACCGATGGTCCCTTTCTTTTTTCTGTCTAAAGGAAAACAATTTCTGTTTACAATTACAAAGCCATGTTGAATTTGCCACAACTCAAAAAACTGCACAAGTGAAACACACGAAACCAAAAAAAACCAAAAATACACCAGAATAACTCTTAAGAAGTACAGAACCCAAAACAAAAAACCTTCAAAAAACTCTCAAGCCAGTGACTTTAGCTTCAAACGACATTTTCCGACTACTCCCATGCTGGCCTGGAAAGATGCCGCGAGTTTAATGATCAATAAATCATGTACGCAGCAAAATTCCCACCAGTAAGAACAGAACTGGAACGAGCATTGAACAGGGAAATAAGGGCAGGAGTGCAATAAAATATGACATGTTATCATGCGCTTTGAAATAATATTTGTCCGACTTTCAAGCACCAAGTTCTCTGAGACTGTCCAGATATGGTATGTATGCTGCATGTATAACCAGGGGAACAAGCACTGTGTCTGTCTTGTAAGGTACATGTATCCATACAAGCAATGAGGTAACCATACATTACATCTACATCACCCTTTAAAAATCCAGGTTTGGGGGGACCATGGAGGTCCCTATTCTGTCCCCCCCCCAATGAGCTGTCCCGTGCCTAATCTTTTTAAAAACGCGTGTAAAGATACTCATTGTCGGTACAAATAAGACATTTTAACTCAAATTTGAGTCATAGGTTTGTTGTTACTGTCAACTGAAATTCAAGGCCACTTGTATGCCACATGATATGCACCTAGCACCTCAATGGAAAATGCTAACCTGTCTAGAAAAAATTGGTGTTAAAATGACATCAACATTACACATGGATAAAAGCCTTCAAGGCTAAGCGCATAAAAAAGTACATTACGACAGAAAAAATGTCCGGGGGAGGGAGTAGATTCCACCCCCCCCCGGCTTTGTGAATAACAAGACTGCTAAGACAACCTGAATTGACGGTATTCATATATTGGCCATCTTGAACTGAAAGTGGATTCAAACTTTTTACTTGGGGAACCTTAGAGTAAGAACAGCAGTGACAAAATAAAAGTTAATACAAATTCATGTCAATTTTTTCAGAATAATTTAAAATTTACGATGAATAATATCAACATGTTTTAAGCCACATAAAAACTCATAGTGAGGTCCGTTTGGAACCTAAAATAGTCTGGCACTATCCCATTTAACAGATTACATGCAATGAATATGATAGATTCAGGGAACAAGATTTTTTAAAATGGCTCTCTCTTGAATAAGGTCTAGTATTAGCTTGTTAAGTAACCAGAACCTTGGTGTCACAAAGGGAATGGAAAAAACAAGAAAGAAGAACACAGAAATTCAAGAGACTAGGAACCTCAGACTTTGCTCACCATACCAAATTATCACAACAATGCTCTTTACAAGTACATGTATATAAAACACGCTCTTAATAGAATGCTTAGGAAAGACACTTTTCAATGACAACTTAATGTAAGCCTTCAATAGGTTGAACCAAATCTTCCTCAATTCTACAAAATCCAACTTGCCTAGGGGTTTTCAAGGCCAGAATCTGAGGAACCAAATTTTCCTTAATTCTACAAAATCCAACTTGCCTAGGGGTTTTCAAGGCCAGAATCTGAGGTACATGTAAGCACAGAGAAATGTGGAGTCCAGCCACACTATCACATCATGCACATGTACATGACCCATGGGGCTTAATGCCCCTCAAAGTTGAGCACAAAGGATGTATCACTGGTTTTTTTCATGGCAGAACACTTTGCCACCTTTGGAGGGTTCAGAAGTCTCCAGGCAAAACAATACATCTGCAAGGAGTCGGGGTTGATTTCAAAAATCTACACGCTGACCTCTTTCTTTTGCCTCACAGGCTGTAAAAGCTATCAAACCTTTCATTAAAAACAGGAACAAGTGATACCAGGGACAAAAGGGATCCGGGATAAACTCTCCAAATTTCATGTTCCTAAACAGTGGACACTATGTAGTCCCAGGTGGCTTCCACCTGTACTGCAACCGCAGTCTATGGCAGAAACAACATCAAACAGTTTTTAACAATAATATTGTTTCTGGCGAGTTTGGTTGGTTAAACCCAGGGAAGACAAACAAACCTGGGCCAGGTTGTACCAGCCCACAAAGAAGCTACCAGTAGCAGGGCGGCCATGACGGGTCACAGAGTTGAGGGATGCGACTAATCCATCCACACCACGTCCTTACAGGACCACGCTAATGGTGACAAGATGCTGTAAAACAGCCCCTATCATTCCAAATGACAAACAAGGCGGATGCATCCCAACTCCATGAGAAAACAAAAGAGATAACGGATGGACCAACTCTGTCCCAGCTGATGACCTCATCCCGACCCAAATGCCAGCCAGAGGTTGTTGACCTCGCCAGCTCGTAAGAAAATACTACACCATTCCGTGCATCCCACCAAGCAAACAGGGGCATAAAAAAAACTCAATGGTTTCTCAGAACGGCCGACAACCCCACCGCCAATGCTCAACTCACGATCAATGGGTGCAGTGGACACACAGAGAAATATTTTGGGATCCTCTTGTTTGGCGTGAATGGTACTCGTGTCTTAGGGATTCTTTTAAAAGGAGTGGTGGAGAGTGCAGAACAAAGGGGAAGCGGAAGACAGCACGGCTCTTCATCGCCGTGACAAAAACAAGAAGTGTTTGACCAGTGGGAGGTCCAGCTGGGTAGGACTAAAACGCAGTGTCTGCATCAACAAGGATCTAATGACTCCTTATATCTACGACTGTGACACAGGACAAGAAGAGACCTGCACCAGGGGTCACCTCTCTGTTTCCCCCTTTTTTCAAACGCCCCAGAATAAACTTTTCATGGAGATAAACATGTCAGGCTTCTAAAAGGGCCCATTAGGGGATTATTGAAAGTTTTGCCTTCATCGCAGCTGGTGTCCTGTCTGGTGAGATTTGTGGGGCCTGTCAACTCAGATGCGACAGAGAAAGGAGGCCTGTACATGTACATGCCTCTGGAATGCTGGCCTCCAATTTCCTTTTTTTTTTTAGGGCACTGCCGTTCGGCACTGGTGGACTGGCTGAAATAACGGCCACTGATGCCAAACTTGAAGGCATTAATGCCATCAGCGTACCAAAGTTATGGGCATTAATGCCATTCCGATTTTTGTTGGATATTGCATGAAAATGATTCAGGTCTAAGAAAAAGTAGGACATCCATTATACCTGAACATGTCCGTAATGAGTGCTGAACTAGCAGCCGAGCGTTAAAAGGCTTCGGCCCGTTTTGACGGCAGCTGTGCTTTCCTCGGCATTTTGCGCACCACAAAAACTGGCCAGGCCAGTGATTTTGGACACAACAACATATGTGAGAATTAATCAGGGTAGTCCCGATGGACTGATGTCATGCATGTACTGTTCGGATCGCACGCAGCGCGTAGCACTAAACTGCAAACACTACATTGCGGTGTTAGTTAAAATACTGCCACGACCATACAATTGTCCTGTGTGCATGAAAAACGTGGAGCTCTCGATATACTGACAACGCGTACACGTTGATAAGCACTTGTTCCAGACTAACATTATCGCATGATACATTAAAATGCTTGGCTTGGGCATGCCCTGTTATGTTCAGTCGTTGGATAGGCCGGCGAGTGTCGCCTGTGCCATGCCTGCGATCGTGCAGTGTGCATGGAGCAGGCCGGGTCGCCAGTGCGCGGTAGGCTGAGTGTACGATATCCCCATTATACACACAGTGCACGCACGCCCTGCATATGCATGCATGCCATACATTTGGGTGGCGCGGCGCGGTGTTCCGGTCAGATGTGAGCGATCATGGAACGACGTGTATGTCGCTTTGCATGCCGCTTTCCGTGTACCTTGCTGAAGACAGGCAGTCAATATGCACGTGTAAGGCACTACGGTCAAGAGAAAAAAAGGGCACTGCTATCTTGGCAGTGAAACACGATCACTTTTCGGAGGCATCACGGCCAAATGGGGGGGCACCA